AAAGTCGTCGCCCTCCTAAATAAGCCAGGAAACTCTCCAGAGAAGCCAGATAGTTACAGGCCTATCTCTTTACTATGCACGGCCAGGAAACTAATGAAGCGAACTTTATTGACGCGGATTTCTCCTGTAACCGAAACCGCCCTCCCAGTGGAATAAGCTGGCTTTCGATCTGGACGCAGTTGTTGCGAGCAACTGCTTTTCCTTACTAGCTTCATTGAGGCAGTATTCCAACGGAAACAAAAAGCAGGGGTGGTTTTGAGTAATCTATCATCGGCTTATGATAAGGTCTGGCGTGATGGTCTCATGTGCAAAGTCTCTAGAATAATCAGGTGCCAGAGGTCTCTTATCGCTTTATTACAGCCACGATTAGCGACCGTCGGTACCGGGTCCCTATCGATTGGCGGATGAGTACGAAAAGGATCCTTAACAACGGATTACCAAAAGGTGTAGTACTTTCTCCATTCCTATTTAACATCTATACCAGCGACCTCCCACCAACAGCGTCGAATAAGTTCGTTTATGCCGATGATATCGCGCTAGCAACCGATCATATCGACTTATAGATGCTAACCTGCATACTCACGTCTGACATCGCTGTTATGACGCACTATTTTGACCAGTGGAAGCTACACCCGAACCCGATGAAAACTGGCGCGACAGTTTTCCATCTGGACAATCGACTGGTCAAGGAGAAACTCAGTTGAGTTCTGTGGACAACACGTGCAGCACGAAACGAAGCCAATATATCTGGGCATCACTCATGATTCCTATCACCTACGCCATATCTGGAAAAGACATAGCAGAAGATTAAGACGAGAATAAACTTATTACGAAAACTTGCTGACACCTCTTAGGGAGCAGGTGTCCTCGTGCTGCGTACTACGGCCGTCGCGCTTGTGAATTCTCTCGCGGAGTATTGTTCCCCTGTTTGGTGCCACAGCTGCCACACGAGCAAATTAGAAACGCAGCTCAATGAAGTGACGCGAATAGTAACAAGAACACTGAAGACAACCCAAACACAGTGGTTACCGATTTTGGCGCATATTGAACCTCCTCACCTCCGAAGGGGCGAGCAGGAGTATCACATCTTCCAGAACATTGATAGGAATCGCCAATTACCCATCTATCGTGTTCTTCAACAGCCACCAGCACGACGCCTGAAATCACGCCACCAGCCATGGCAACGAGCAACGACACCGCGTTTGAGTATCGAGGAACGGTGACATGCAGAGTGGGACGCGACAGCTGTCCATAACAAAAACCTCATCTGAAATCCGCCCACGGAACATGGACTTGGCATGGACTTGAATCGCCTAGCATGGCCGAGATTAAACAAGATTTCAACAGGAAAAGGACGCTGTGAACACCTACTCCATCGCTGGAAGATGAAGTTTAACTCACAGTGTGACTGCGGTCATGAAGGT